TGGGCGAGTGCGCTTGTAACCAAGCCAATCGGCGTTGGCGACGCGCAGGACTTAGGGGCAGACCAACATAGGGACGTCGGGCTCTTAGTCCATTGACGCGTAATCGGTTTCGAACCGTATCAGGATGAATATGGCGGTTATGACTGCCTATAGTGTTATTTGCAGTTTCGGTAGCTGTGAGATGGCGATTACGTAAGTGAGAAAGTCTTATAAACCGATCCTGATGTGGCGTCGTGACGCGCGGACGTCCACTTCGCGGTCGGTCGATGACCATCCACGTCACTCGCACACGTTGGACAAGACATTGAATTGTCCGAATATGTACACCAAAATGTGCAGCAACCTGAAGTTGGCCCTGACCCTTCAAAAGCATTCCTATAGCCTGTCCCCGCTGGACTTCCGTCAATCGTGGCATGGATGTAAATTACTTAATTCGAATCAAACTTTGAAAAATCAATCCGAATACTTGAACAGTATCAAAAAGACTGAAAATTTCCATTGGCGAACTCAATGACCTTCCTCCGCACGGGATTCTTGTATTCTAGCACGTGCCTCGCACGGAGCGCGGAGGTCAGGTATTGTGTGATTTTAAACACGTGTACCTAGTGACCGCGAACAACACATCAACCTGACCGAGTGTCATTATTCTTGGCGAAGCAGTAAATCATTTGTAGTATATTTAGTGTACCCGACGTTTCTTTTTCGTGTTAGTATATGTTTCGTCGCGAGGATAGGACGGCATGGTTAATTGTCTTTATCACTAGCCTTCCACCTCTGGGTTGTGGATTCGAGACCTAAGGTGGGCAGCAGTGAGGACACTTTTCTCCACCATCAACAATAAACAAAAACGTGTTATCAATTTTAACGTTGTATATATTAAGTAAACAAACCCGTATTTACTCTACAGGTGTATGGTCTGGCTGGAACGTATGATGATAAGACGTCTACAGACTTTGAGTCTCCCTCTGGGAGCTTTGAGGTGGAGCCATCCATATTCGCAGACACCTTCAAAGAGTGTTCGGATAGCTCCAATATATACGTTCACTTTTGTCCGGAAAATGTGGAGGTGAGACTATCAATGACAGCATAATCATTGTACACTACAATAGCAAATGAATCCTTATGGAACACCTATCTATATTGTATATATTTGTAGTTAGAATAATACAGATGCCCGACTCGATAATCACAAAGTTTTTATCTAATGTTGAACCAAAAGATGGTATTTTTGTTGCCTGCAAGGATCTTCGCGCGAGTATATTCACAAATCAATTCAATTACAGAAAAAAAAGTCATTTTTTATTTCTGTGTGGAGAAAAAGAATTATTATGTAAATGGGCCTTCGAGATACATGAATTCGAGATGGTGAGATTCGACTTTATATAATGTTGTGGTATTTACCCCTCATGTATGTATAGAAGATGACCTGACTCAGCAAACCCATAATTGTGATTCGAAGCATTTGGTTTTGTTTGATTCTTATACTGTTGATGAATGTTTCTTTACTTTAGTTGACGTCAGAATACTTGTGTAGTCCGATTAAAACCCATCCCTTGTTTACGGATTGCTTTGCCCGGACTAACGGTCATTACTACTACGAGAAGTGTAAGGAGGATGTGTGTAGTGGAAAGCCCGAGAATGCAGCCAGGATTGCTTGTCACTGGACAGGTGCTCTGGCTATGGCTTGTGCACAGTTAGGCCCGGAATACGTGGTGAATTGGATGGACGACCTCGTTTGGACTATGTGCAGTAAGTTATGTCGATCAGATGTAATTCATTATCTGTTATGCCACGAAATTTATTTCTTATTAAGTCATTGATACGAAACGGTCGACAGAATTATATTTATGTTGTTGTATACATTTCTCTATTTGAGATCGTGATATTACAGAATTGATTAGACCAAGATTTACATTGCGAGACCCTTTCTCTTCCACAACACCTGGTCTTAAACCCTATTTACTTTTTTTCATGCGTAGCTGTGCAAATCTTACTTTGTTAATGCTTCACCAAATTTGAGTTTTCATGATTATGATCGCTTATTGGTAATTTCTGTTTTTGAACTGAAAATGATGGGATCTGCAGCATTTGCTATGATGACGTAATAGATAACTTATTATGAAGATTCATGTAGAATCGTCTGTGTCTTTTCTCCTTAGGGAATACAACGTGAAAAAGATATATGCTGTCTTTATCGTAACATTTTGGATGTTGTATTTTGCGTTTCTCTCCTGACAACTTTGTGATTTTTCCTTTGTAGCGTCGCTCGACATTCATCCTTATTTTGTTATTTCTATGAAGCATGCCTTTTTTAAGTTTGTGATACAAATCTTTCATTTGTTTGGTATATGTTTGAACTTGGATTCCATAGCTGTTTATCAACAATGCGCTGCCGGAAGCACATACACGGACTGTGCATCGATATGCAGTGGTCGTTCACATGACCTTCAGTATCCAGATCCGTCATGCCAAGAAATGTGTGTACCCGGATGTGAATGTCCGATCGGCACGATATACAGCGAGCTCAATGGAGGGTCCTGCCTTTATCCTGAAGAAGCGGGCTGTTTTGATCCCTACTCAAACACATATGTTTCTCCAAGCGAAGTCAGATTTCAAGGATGCACGAACTGGTGATTATCGTAAAACTCTCAAATATAGTAAAACAGCTTTACAATTGAGCATAGTGTTCAGCAGATATGATCGTTTATGTTCTTTGAAGTCTACACTCGAGGCAAATTACAGTGAAACTAATCTTGATCTTTTGTTTCCAGCACCTGTGTGAGCGCGACCTGGATATGTGATGACGAGAACTGTGAGATCACGTGCCCTAAAAACCAGATTTTTAGGAAAGCGATCTCTGTTTGTGAAGTAACATGTGAAGATATTGATAAGGTTAAACCCTGTGCAAGTCTGTTAACTCATGATCGATGTGCCTGTCCCGATAACCTATACAAAACACCAAATGTAAGTTGTTTTTTTCAGTTCACTCAACACCTCTAACGCGTAATTTTAAATATCATCATATTTACTTAATGTGTTTTCGATTATCAATCAATGCATAAAATATACAAATGATTTACAATATTGTTTCATATTGTTCGTTGAAAACGATGGACTTTATCACACAAGGAGCTTTTAAAATGAGATATTGATGGTGATTATTAATCGTTTTCAATGAAATATTGCGTTTTATATATATGTAATATTTTAGATTGACACCAACACAATAAAAATAGAAATTAAAACAGGATACAGTTTTTTTCTTCTTTTTTTAATTTCAGGGAACTTGTGTTAACGCTGTCGAATGTCCGTGCAGTAGATCTGGACATTTTTATGACTACGGATCTACGTATGAGGAGTCGTGCAAAACATTGTAAGTTACTCATTCTCAACAAGGTATTCTAATTTTTTCAAAGTTTTAATTTATTTCAGCTTGATATTTTTAATATCACACAAAGCTACAAGAGAATTTGACTAAATTAATTTCATTTACTTTACTCGTGATGAAAATAGATATTGTTGCTTACAAGATTCATTCATGGACAGAAACATAGATATGTTTGTTTATATATGAGCATTTCAAAAGAACTGTCCTATTTAATAATCAATACATATGTATCTTTCCAGTCGGTGCACTGGTAGGCAATGGATGAAGATTAAAGAGGACGAATGTCCAGGTAGATTACATGCTTAATGAAGCTTAGTTCGGATTAACGTAAACGAGGAGGATATCAATCTAGTATTTATTATGATCGAGACAGTTATCTCTGGAAACATGTCTACCACATATATTTGAGATATTTATGTATCTTTCTAAACATAAAACTCTGTTGTAAATGCGGTATTGCTTGCTTCCTCTTTTTTCAACCAACACTTTAACTTTAATGAATTTTGTGTATCTCAATCATATTTTGGATCTGCCCAATATTTGACTACAAAGTATGAACGATGACGAAACTTATGATACAGAAAATTATTAATTTAAACCATATGGAGAAAATAAGGAAATAAGAAGTTTTCGTCTTATCGTCTTCATCCTCACACGAATATAAACTAAATCTGGTCTTTACTGTAAAGGTTTAATGTATCCTAACTTTAGTCATTGATGGATGTACGAAATACTCACATCCGATCCAGATTAGCAGTAATTCGAAGCTCAGAGCGTTAGATTTGACGCTGTTACCGTTTCGAATTTTGGTTTGTTTCTTTCAGGTGTATGTTGGGCATCTGGTGAGCCACATATCGGCACTTTCGATCACGTGCACTATTTCTTTCAAGGGAGTTGTGAATACCTGCTGGTTAGGGAGAGAGGTGGTAGTGCATTTGACATAAGTACACAAACTATTCAATGTGGTAGCGAGGGTGTAACTTGCTCCCGAAAGGTAACAATACAACTACAGAATAACGTCAGCGTTAGTATGCTCCGAGGGTCACCTGTACAGGTATCGGGTGTCCACATCACAGGTGCAAGTTACAGTGATAGTCTACTCGAAATATCCTTGGAATTTCCGTGGGTAACGGTATTTGTTCCCAGCTTGCAGTTAACCGTTATGTGGGATAATGGTAAGTCTTCAATATAGAAATATGTGGTGAAGAAGCATAATGTACTGAAATCATTTATCTGGCCGAATATGTTAAATGAATATGAGACTCATTATGTTTGAGTGTTTTGGTTTATATGTATTTAAAAGGACTTTTGATTAAATTTATCATTAACTGTCCTATTTATGAGGGTCATGAGATATTAGCCACCGTATATTACTAAAGACGCGAACTCAATTTTGACAATCAATAAATCAATAAATTGTTTAGTAATGTGAACATATCAAGGAGATCTAGATATCCTACGATCGGTTTAATCTCAAGTGTTTGTGATACTCAGTGCCGATAGACCCTGTATCAATGCCATGTTGTTTTGTCCTCAACGATAAGACTCGATAGACCCTGTATCAATGCCCTGTTGTCTGTGTCCTCAACAATAAGAATCGATAGACCCTGTATCAATGCCATGTTGTCTTTGTCCTAAACATTAAACTCGATAGACCATGTATCAATGCCATGTTGTCTTTGTCCTCAACGATAAGACTCGATAGACCCTGTATCAATGCCATGTTGTCTTTGTCCTCAACGATAAGACTCGATAGACCCTGTATCAATGCCCTGTTGTCTGTGTCCTCAACAATAAGAATCGATAGACCCGGTATCAATGCCATGTTGTCTGTGTCCTCAACAATAAGAATCGATAGACCCGGTATCAATGCCATGTTGTCTTTGTCCTCAACAAGAAGACTCGATAGACCCTGTATCAATGCCATGTTGTCTTTGTCCTCAACGATAAAACTCGATAGACCCTGTATCAATGTCCTGTTGTCTTTGTCCTCAACAATAAGACTCGATAGACCCTGTTTCAATGTCATGTTGTCTTTGTCCTCAACACTCACACTCGATAGACCCTGTATCAATGTCATGTTGTCTTTGTTGCCAACATTAACACACGATAGATCCTATCTGAAGATCATGCTGTCTTTGTCTTCTATAGGAACTCGACTCTACGTCTACCTTGGAACCAACTGGTCTGGGAACGTTGAAGGTCTATGTGGTAACTTTGATGACAATGATAACAATGACTATTTAGGACAAGATGGCCTAACATATCCATCTGATATTAACAGCTTCGCCAACACCTGGAAAAAGAATCCATTCTGTCCTGATGTTGAGACGGACCCCAACGCACAAGTCCAGTGTTCAGTAAGTAACATATCTTTGAGCTGAGAGAATAAACAACGTAAGTTACAACCAACTGACAATCCTTGTTGCGGATAAACCAAAGTGAAATATGATTCCATGTGATACAAAGCCTTTGTAATCACGAGGTTGTAATTGAAAATTTGGTGAGTTGGTTTATAATCGTATTTATGGATATTGTTAGATTTTAGCTAAAGAAACCCCTAGTTTATAAAAACGGTATTGTTTTCATATAATTTGATTAAATAACTTTTAGCTTATTCCTGGGGAGTGTTTTAGAGTATTTGATGCACGTTGCTACATGACTGGTGAATCTGAGGTTATTAAATTTTATTGCTATTTGGGATCGTGATATTACACATTTCGAGTGCTCAACATTTGCATTGTGGGTTTATGGATAAAGCTGAAGACACTTACTTTTTCGGAACATCTGGTCTTATTGTCGATATATTTTCTCAAATCTCATGTTCATCTTTCTTTTTCATATTTTCTACTGGTTTCATCGAATTCGACTCTGAATATTCTGGTGACATCTCGTCTTGTATTTTAGGGAGACCAGATTGGCCGCTCAGACTGGGCGAATGACAAGTGCAATGTGATAATCGATGGTGACCTGTTTTCTGAATGTAGGACCCACGTCAGTGTTAACGCCCTCCAGTATCATGCTGATTGTGTTTATGACGCATGCAGGTAAACAACGAATCATTCAACAGATGATATTATGACTTGTAATAGAAGGCATGATTTCCATGACATTCATTGAGATTTTCGTGTATCTTTAACCATGCTATACAACATATTGTTACGTCATTAGTAAAAAATGGATTGATGTCATGCATTAACAAAAAGCATTGTTACGTCACAATAAGACACTGTAGGAAATAGCGCCAACACGAGTTAAAGTTTGATATGGGTATTTTTGAAAGTTGTTGATCACGTGGCGAAAAGTATCTACATCACTTGTGAAACTCGTCATGTTTTGTTTAAAATGCCTACAGAAATCAATATAGACACATTTCATTAATCTGACATGGAACGGAAATGCATACATGATCATATTTATTCCGATTAGTATTCCGTTAAACGTTCGATGCTCTTTACTTGTATCTTGTATACTCTCTGAGATAGCTGGTACAAGGCACTGTAGGTTGATTTAAGTCGCGGGTTTGTCATAACCTGCATGCCACGTTTTGATTCATTCCAATAGTGGTATTATACAGATGTACTGGACACTTAAAAAATCAGATATATCAAAATGACGAAATTTATTCAATTATTTAGCTAGTGTATTTCCCCGTCAAAGTTTTTACTTTTCTTTCGATCTCTTTTGATTTTCCTCATTCGTCTCTTAGGTTTCAAAGTTTGAGCCCTTAGCATCACTGACGAGTCCTGGGAGGACGAAACAACTGTTTGCTGCAGTTTACTTAATTGTTTGGCTCTACTGTCTAACTCTAAATTGGTATCAATTTATGCTATTCACATGTGTGTCTTACATTCTTTATCGCAACACCAAGATTTGTTAAATGTTGTTTATTTATATGTAACTCTAAGTATTAAATTATCCATATGTTAGTAATTAATGTTCCTGGAACAGATTAATTTATGTTGTGACAATAAATTCTAAAACATTATGCAGCAAAATAATTATCTGGCATTTTTTCATATATTTACAGACTAGCTGCAAATATGTGATTGTTTTAGCAATTAGACGTATGACAAAAGTGTATCTATGAGACAACAAATACAAATTAATCTTTAGAATAATGTGGTATGCATGGATTTGTGTGTTTTGCGATCAACAAATATTTACATTTTGTTTATAGCAATCATAAGATTAGATAATAACTGTGTATATAACGCTTCATATGTTTATTCGTTTACTTGTAGGTCGGTGTCTATTGACTTAACACCTTTGCTAGTTGGATGTAGGATCGTTGAATAAAAGTCCGTGGTTTTTATCACTTTTGTGGTATAGGTTTTGTAGGCAAAATCCTATAACACATTTAATAATATGATATTTAAAGCATGTGTACTAACACAAAGATGGTAAACAACATGAGAGCATTTTATGGGGGTTGGGGGTAGGGGAGGAGGAGGGGACGAGGGATGGGGTAATATCTGTCACCTTGATAGAAAAGGAACACAATGCAGTGTTTTTTGCTCTGTTTCTAGTTGTAGCGCTGGTGGAAACTGTGAATGCCTTTGTACAGCTTTGGCCAATTTCGCGGAAGCGTGCACTCGGGCAGGTGTGGTTGTAAGATGGCGAACTCCTTGGTTATGCCGTAAGTAGATATCACCGAAAGTTTTCTCGTTACTTGTTCTCCATTTATTTTTTAAGGAGTATCCGTGTGAATCTTTCTTTGTTAATACTTTTTCCCATTTTTAAAGAATTTGAGTTTGGATTATGATTCTAGTGACATGTTGTTTATTTTCTTTGTTGTTTCTTGTATCCAGTAGGGATGCTATTACTTTATATTCATAACGTCCGTTCGCTATGGTAATTTCTAACATTTTCAAACATAACTCATTAACTGTTAACAATTGTTACCGATGGAACGAATTTTATTTTGATTTCGATTACTAGTTTTCAATTTTCAATAAAATTAGATATTCGTAGAATGATAATTATTTTTGCTATTTCTGAATAGTAAATTGTCATTGTTGAGACTGCTTTTTGCTCAGGTTATATACGATATCGTTTTATAACTGAGTACAGCATTCCACTGATTAAGACGAATATAAGAATATAAACGATATCTCGTTGTGTTTCCTTTATTACAGCTATGATGTGTGAAGATGGTACAGAGTATATGCCATGCCACTCGCCCTGTCATCAGACGTGTAGGAATATTGGTGATGAGCCGAGTGACCACTGCTCTAGTACTCCTTGTGTGGAAGGTTGTTTTTGTCCAGAAGGATACGTCCGTAATGGTAAGATTATAACTTCGTGTTTCATACTCTTTGGCAAAAGCACGAGTCGAAACCTCGTCGTCCCTTGATTTCAAAATGTTACTTTTTCTTCTTTACATGGAAAGACATTAGCCTAACAAACGCGTTCATGTGTAAAAAAAACTTAAAACAAACAAGCAAAATACACCAAACATCTAAAAATAAACAAAGATGACACATTTCTAATTGTCCGTCCGTCCGCTTGTTCGGGCGTCCATTCGTTCGTTGTATTTTTTTCCGGAAAATATCACAAAAAATATAAGAGGTATCTACATATATCTTTTTAGGTAGAAAGTAGTGCAGTGTAAACGAATCATGACACTTTCTTTTGTAAAATTTAGGAGTTATTGCTCTGTACAATTTTTCATAGTTAAATTTTGTTCGGAACATAACACGAAACCTATAAAAGTTATCAATGTGAAACTTCCAAGGTTTATTTGGGAGCATCTGTCGGTTCTACTTATTCTCTTGCAATTTTTTAGTTTAAACTTTATTTCTTTCTTATTACATAACATATTACAGAGTACTTAGGTATACAAAAGAAAAGGATTCAGAAACAAGTGAAACACTTATATAAATCTGTCTCGTTGATGTGATTCTACTTAACAGCACTGTAAGCATTTATTAATGTTTAAAGAAATAACGTCATATGGATATCAAAAAACAAGAGAAATCATGTTATCAGTTCAGAGTAGAGGGGTAGAGAGAGTAGGAGATCAAGGAAAGGAGTTAGTAAGTAGACGTATGTCGGATGGATATTCAACCAGCTGGTGACGCGCCGATACTGATACTATATGTATATAAATACTTAATTATCATACAAAAATAATTTAACAATCATTCAAATCTTTTAGTGCGTAAAATGTAATTTTGAACACTTTGAAATACTATTTCGTTGGTATTTCTCGGTAAGTTAGTGTTTCCATAAACTAAAGTATCCAAGGTTATTTGTAAAGGTAAAGTAGCAAAACAGTCTTGTCTAATGTTACTATATTTGGTACATTATAAAAGATAATGTTCGACAGTTTCATTTGATAACCTACAACTACACAACGGAGATTCAACAATTTTTTTCTTAAATAAATGGTCATTTAGGGAACTACATTCCATACGCAATCTAGCATGGTAGATTTGTCCAAGTCTAGTTCCAGCAAAATAATATGTTGGCACTGAAGTAGCATTGGCACTTAAATACAATTTTAATTTTGAAAGAGAGGGATTATTTTTAATAGCAGCATGGAGATCATTCCAAAGGTGGATTGTTGAAGGTAAGAAGGACTTTTTATATGTATTTGTTCTGCAGCGAATTGGAAGAAAGTTATTGGCTTCTCTAGTATTGTGACCGTGTATATTGGAGTGTCTCTGAGGAAGTAAATCTTGTAAATATGGCGGTGTTTTGCTATGGACCATTTTATGGAGCTGGATAATTTTATGATAGTTTCTTCTAGTTTTAAGTTGATCCCATCCTGTCTCTTTGTAAAGTTTTGAAATGCAGGTAAGTTTGGTTGGACCCGTCACAATGCGTGCTGCTTCTAATTGGATGTTTTCAATGACTTGTTATTGGGCAATAGACATATTGTCCCAAATAACGTCTCCGTATTCCAAGATTGGACGGATGAAAGAAAAATACATTTGTTGGAGGGATGAACGATCAATTTTAAATTTAAAGGCACGCAGTAGATTAAGTTTTCTAGAGGATTTACTTATTATATTCTCTATATGGGCAGTCCAGTCACCATTACTGGAAAAAAATACACCCAAATGTTTATGAGTGGTTACTTCGTTTAAAGTTGTGTTATCCATTGTTAAAGAAGAGTGTTGTGGTTTACGGATTTTTCGACTAATTGTAATTGTTTCGGTTTTAATGGGATTAAATTTTACCAGCCAGTTTTTTGACCACATATGAATCTGTTCAAGATCGTTATTCAGTATGTTAGCAGCATGAGCAGGAAGGTCGACTATAACGTATAAAGAAGTATCGTCGGCGAATAGTTTTATTGTTGCATTAATATTTACGACTATATCATTAATGAAAACAAGAAAAAGGAGAGGCCCTAGTATAGATCCTTGTGGTACACCTGCTTTAACGAACGCCCAGTCAGATGATTTGCCGTTTAAGGAGACTCGCTGTTTACGATTTTCAAGATAACTTTTGAACCAGGATAATAGTTTCCAGCTTATACCGAAACTGGATAGTTTGACTAGTAGGCCGCGGTGCCATACTCTGTCAAAGGCCTTGCTTATGTCGCAAAAGGCCATTCTAATTTCTTTACCGGAATCAAGAGCTTCACAGTGGAGTCGCCAGACCGAAAGCCTGTTTGATGAGAGGACAGAAGTGAATGGTCTAGGAAATAGTTATGAATATACTTATAGACACATCTTTCGAAAAGTTTAGAGACGACGGATAAAAGAGATATTGGACGGTGGTTGCAAGGCAAAGAGGGGTCACCTTTTTTATAGATAGGGGAAACACAAGCTTTTTTCCACTCACAGGGGAAAATGATTTAGAAAGAGAGATATTGAAAATCATACAAAGAGGAATACAAAGTATATCAACTGCTTCTTTTAACAAGCGAGGGTTAATCAGGTCAGGACCTATTGCCTTAGAACAGTCTAATGTAAGGATAATCCCTTTGATATCTTCAGATGTAATTATTATTTCAGATAAGCTACACCTGTGAGTGTTAGCTAGAGTTGGAGTTTCGACATTAGAATCGTCCAAGTTTGACTGTGAACAAAAGTAATCGTTGAGTGTAGTAGCTTTATCTATATCATCATTATATAATGTATTATTGACTAGTAAGGGGGGACACGTGAGGTTTTACCTGAATTGGACATTAAGAAGTTTACAGTTTTCCACCAAGCCTTAGGTTTAAGAGGACTCTGACTATGCAGATTTTGACAAAGTTTGTTAAAATATTCTATTTTTGCCTTCCTTATAAAGTTAACGCACTTATTTCGGGCTTGTTTGAATTTCAACCAGTTGTTTTGTAAATTAGTTGATTTTGCTTTACGATGAAGCTTTTTGCGATCACGTATCAGTTTACGAATAGCATGGGACATCCAGGGTGGATCATTTTTTCGGATATGAACAGTTTTATTGGGGATACATTCACGTGCTGCTTCTAACAAAGTAGCATTAAAATTTTCAATACTAGTGATTAGGTCCTCAGGATGAACGACTGTTTCCCAATCAACATTAGAAAGTAATTCACGATATTTTGCATAATTCCCGTGATTGAAAAGCCATATATGTCTCTTGAACGTTGGCCTAGTAGGTTTAGTTATGTTAAATATGCCGAAAATTGGACAATGATAGCGAAACGGTTGATCCAGGAAGCTCTCGCCAACGAAACAGTTGGATAGAATATCTGGGTTACTTATACAAATTAAATATAGTAAAGACGAGCTACTTTCGGTGTAGAAAGTCGGTTCATTTATTTTTTGTTGTAGATTACAATCCATCAATAGGGCATTTAAATGAGAAGTCAAGAAGGAATTCTCAAGTGCATTAGAATTAAAATCACCGGTAATAATAATATTTCCAATACCTGTATTAAAAGCCTTTTCGATAGAATGGGCAATGTGTTGCCAAGTACTAACTGGAGAGTTGGGTGGCCTATAGAATGTACCATATAGTATCGATTTATTATTTAAAGATAATTCAAGCCAAACACACTCAATGGTAGGTCGTTCAATATCTGGTCTACGTTTCGAGAAGATGTTGTCTTTAACATAGACTGCTATACCTCCGCCGATTTTATTATTCCAACAGAAGCAAAACGGGGGTGTGAATCCGGTGAAACAAATATCATCGCATATTTCATCTGGCCTTAGCCAAGTCTCGGTAAAGGATAAAATGCTACAGTTGAAGAGTTCGGTATACAGTACATCTAACTTAGGCTTAAGACTTTGGATATTCAGGTGTACAAAGGAGTATTTAGAATCATCTAGTGATATATTTTCAGATATTGTAGATCCATTTGATGTACTAGTGGAAAAGGGACCTGGATTTTCAGCTACATCACCAGCAATATGCAGTAATATATACATAATCATAGTTGAAAATAAAAACAAATTGATACATACAATATCTAGCAGAGATAGACATTTTCGTATAGAAAGAACGGCGCGTACGTAGTAGGATCCGATGCTTGCACGGTATAATTCAATATTAACTGGCATCTTATGTGATTCGTAATGAAGCATGTATTGGTGCACGATCGGTAGGAATAGCGGACATACGAACTACTACAGGATCAAATAAGTAAAAAGTATTGGAAGAGGCTGGGTTAGTAGACAGGGGTGAGAATCTTTGAAGAAATCTAGGAATGCTTAGTAAGCAAGGAAAGAGAAGAAAAGGGAATAGGGTTGGGGTTTCTAAATTAGGTAGGGCAATCATTGGATCCCGAGGGAAAAAGGAATCTGGGTGGGACGTTGCAGGGATACACATAATGAATGAATATATATAGATATACACACATAAGTGTGAATGTAGAACTGCAAATGTATTTGGTAAAATGATATTCCATAAGATTGAAGTTCACTCTACAATGCGTAATTTCCAACAACAGTGATTAGATACACTGTGTGGTGGATATATATTCCATAAAGGGCAAAGTTTACACTTAGACAAATAAATTTTCAATTCCAGTGAAAAATGCTGTGTTAAAAAGATATTTACGTCAAGGGTGAAGTTCATTCTTCAATAAATAAAATTTCATAGCAGTGAAGCATGCATTGTGATACATATTTGTTCCAGAAAGGCCGACGTTTACGATAAGTAAATTTCCATTTCCATGGGTATAACTATTTGTAAATAGATATTTACATAAAAGGTGAACTCCAAAAAATGATAAATCACATTAACAGTGTAATACACTGTGGTAAATAGAAATATTCGCATAAAGTGTGAAGTTTACTCCAGGACAAATAAATTTTCAATAGCAATGAAGTACACTGTGTGTTAAATAGATATTTACATAAAACGTGAATTTTACTCTTGGAGAAACAAATTTTCAATAGAAGTACACTGTGGTTAATAGATATTCACATAAAACGTGAAGTTTACTCTAGGAGTAACAAATTTTCAATAACAGTGAAGTGCATTGTGCGATATATATATATATATAAATGGTGTCTCTTCACTCCTCGATGAGTAAATTTTCAATTTCAGTGAATATCTAAGTACATTTGGATAAATATACATGTATATGTTCACTTAATACATTTAAAAAAAAAAGTAAAGGATACTGATATCATAGGCAATGAAGCACACATTATGGTAATACATTTTAAGTAAACAGTGAAATACACTGAGTATTACATGATCAGTGACGTTACTGTGTAATGCATAATTGCAATTTTTTTCTTGTCGTTCGTGTTCACGGAGTCGAAATGCAGTGTTATTTGGCCCTATTTTCTCACCTATTTTATCATCTATTTTGAAAATAAAAACTAGCCCGAACTGCTTAATCTGGAACCAAAGATAATTGTCTCCAGTTATATTGGACTTGAAAGAAGGTTTACTGATGTTTGACATGTAATAATGTCTATAAATATCCCAAGTTAACACTAATTACCATTTTTTTTATCTTACAGACAACGGACAATGTATCCCGGCTGATGACTGCCCTTGTTATCATGATGGACAGGAATACATTTCGGGAACTGTTATTCAGCATAACTGTATGACATGGTAAGCAATCATTGTTCCTAGGTTTCAGCTATTTTAGATCTTGGCATCAAGGGGCTCTCCCAGAAATATTTCTTTATCTATTTTTTGACAATAACGTATTCTAAGTTTTTACTGACTGTCTTCAATTGCTGTCTTATTTACATTTTTACGGTAAAATTTGTTAAATATGGTTAAATATGACCTAATAAGTTTTGAGTATACTATGCCAATGTTTGATATCATGCTTCCTCGTCCAGATATTTCTATATCATTTTCCTACTAGTTTGTAGATTATTAGCCGAGAACGTTAACATTCCTCCTAAATATAGCCCCTTTGACACCACTTTCCACACTGCAAAGGTGTGAATGTACTCCGCTAAACTTATAAAGACACGTTAAACCTTTCCAATGAAAGACAAACTCTCAACACAGAGTATCAAACGATGCAGGTTGATCAAAATCATTTGGAAGTTTTACGGTCAACAGAGTGATCTCATTGAGAAATATTCTTTGTGCGATATAAAGGTGGACGTGTTCGATGCTCGTTAGCTTTTTGGTTCCGTTGTTGTATACCTTGTTCTCATTTAATAACGTGACATTACTTACTTGGATTCGCCCAGGTAAACATGGCAGTTGATGTCGATGAAGTAGAAGAATCTTACACTTCCTGAAACCCTGGCTTTATTCTCCTTGCACTTTTTTTTCATGAGTCTGTGTATAAATCTTTCTTTTGTTCATTTTTTTTGCCCTAGCTTCAAGACATTTGAGTTTGCATTACAATTATGTTGACATTATGTTGGTATTTTCTTAATGTTTTTTGTTTTACTATCCGATGTATTATGGCTCGTACATGCCGCCAAAAATATATATATATATATATATATACATGTGTAGCCCCATGATCCATCGAATCTTCACTGACAATTGATTTTGGGAGCATATGCAACAAAACAGACAAGAATTTAAATAAAACGTCATATCATTTTATAATACTATGTGTTTTAATGGCGCAATATGACACTATGGAGAGGTCAGTCTTTTTATCTTATGAATTTTGTAAAAATTATGGTCTAACTAATCCTTTGTTTTCTTTTCAATCAGTACGTGCACTCGAGGAGTGTTTTCCTGTGTGGGTGACAAATGTAGTTGTGATGATGATCAGTTTTCCTGTGATAGCCTTTACTGCATACCCGCAGAGTATCAGTGTGACTCCGTTCTCGACTGTCACGACGGATCGGATGAACAATCATGTAGTGAGTCTCATGATGTTTGTTGTAATGTGTTATTATTAGTTACCGCCCCTGATGGACCTCTCGTGTAAGATAGGGTAATAAAGGTGGTCATTGCACTACATTAGAAATGCTGGTAGCGTTAATGGATCTTACCATGAATTATTTGATAACCGTAAATTCATTAATGAAAGATAGGATCCTGTACTTTTTTATAGCTTAAAATTGATTTTCCTGTTTGGAGTTATTTCTATTTTTTTAAATTCTGTTTTTGATAGGAAGAGCTTCGTTTTTCATTGATTTCGTGGATTTCGCAAATATATATTTCCACGAACTATTAAAGTAAATTTTTCACGAAAGCAAGTGTTTTTAAACCACGAAAATATTGAATGGAATCAAATTTTATAATTGTATAGTACTCGATGTTTTTAAACCACCAAGCATCCTGTGAAAGATGAATGATCTCGACTAACCCACAATTCATTATAACACATTTGTTTTTACAGATTGCGGAGTAGGAGAGTTCCAGTGTAACAACGGACATTGCATACAGAAGAGCTACTTGTGTGATGGATTTCGGGACTGCTTAGATTCAGCTGATGAAACCAATTGTACCTGTAAGGATACAATGAATTCTTCGCAACGGGGTTTTGCCGTGTTTGCTTCAAATTTTGGAATTTAAGATTTCTTAAAGATATATTTCTCAATGATATCCATAAATGTGTCTGAATTAACGTAGGTTCTCGTTCCCCCGAAAGAATTCTTCTTTTAATTCGGAAAACGAGATGACGGCCATTGTTTTTTTCATGTTTTTATTATAAAAACAGCATGGCGTATGTCGAATTGCCCGCATTTTGGCGGGTAAAGTCTCATCATAAGTACATGAGAAAGTTGCCCGATTTGATGTTCGGCTTTTAAATATTGAGACAAAAATTAGCAAATCGTCGCTGTTGCTATGAAGAGTCTACCTAAATTGATCTCAGAATGAGATCGCTAATGGGCTGAAATTTCAGAATTGGAATTTAGAATAGCTATACTTATTGGTAAGAATGCATTGGATAGCCATATCCAAGACTAATAAACCAGTGACGAACACGTCAGAAGCTAGGGAACAGATCTTACCTATTAAACACTAAATAAACATTATGTAGTGGTGGGAGGTTAGATATATAGGGCATCTCACCTTCTTTTTGTCTGTAATATTACTTTTATCTTTTCATTATTTTTATGACTTATGTAGATGGCTGTATGGATAAATACCACGACAATTTCGTATGTGACAACGGTAACTGCCTTCCATCAACCTTTCGATGTGATGGCTATATAGACTGTGACGATCTTTCTGATGAAACGAACTGTAATAGTAAGTATTTCACGACTAACACTCATTGGTGTTTTAGTCTTGTTATTAGTTTTAATTCAACAAACGTCTGTCAAAAAACACGGAAGCGATACAAAAAAAACACGTATTTTAATTGCATCCCATCACCCGCAATAAAAGCACAAACAACACACAAACACACGTATTCTAATTAGATAAATAAAATACAAAACAAACAAATAAACAAACAAAACATAACAAAATTTTGATAAACAACAAAACACAATAAAATCCATAAAAACAAAAAAAATCTTAAACTTTCGGGATTGTAACTAAGGTGGAAATGAGATTTTACTGGGAGGTGAAATCACTGTACCGTAGAGGATATCATGATATTGTTGTAAAATTGTTGTTGAGTAGACTATTTCCCTCCTGTTTCTGTGTTTATCTGACCCTCGTTGTTACAAATATATCAATCTTGTCATTTACCTTATTGTATACATAGGTCGATAAGACATTAAATCCGCGATATATTGTAATGAAAATGTTCATCTTAAATAACGAGTGTAGTATTGTCTAAGTTTACGCCACGCTTTAAAGCGAAAGACTAATAGGATCTTTCATCTCCTTGGAGGTGATATAGGTAGAACTGAACCCAACGAGAAAGATGTTTATATTAGCTTGCCGAGTGATTGCTATTTTACCTCTTTTTCTGAGGGTAAAGATCACACAGTTTCACCAACAAGGGGCATTTATTAGGTACTCATATGTGGCTTTGTTGTCCCAATGCTTCGCATTGTTGAACTGACGTCAATAAATTGTTACTGTGACGTCATATTATAATGCCATCTGTACAATTCCAGGAGCTGCCGTCACAATTCAATAACACCACGACAACAATACTGAGCATTGTTATAAAGACAAAAAGACAGTATTACAAACCGAATACGGTACAACAAATACAACCCCCGATTGTAGATAAGAAGAGTGGAACAAACAACATCAAGAAAATACCAACATTGCAACATAAATTCAATAAAACTAGGGCAAAATATAAACAAAACAGATTTACATGGAGACTACTCAAAAAGTACAAGAATAAGACCAGGTGTTCCAGAAGAGTAAGCGTCTTCTGCTTCATCGACGATGCCTGTCATGTAAATGTTGGTCAATCCAAGTAAATAATGCCACGTTCGCAAATGGGACCAAGGTATAAACCAACGTAACCAACAGGCAAACTTATCCTTTATTAAGACTTACATGGTTAGTTGGCGAATATTCGTTTTCTGCCAGAGGCTCAGGAAGAGTAAGCGTCCTCTGCTTCATCGACGGAAATAACAGGCAAACTAATTCTTCATTAAGACTTCAGTTATTAGTTGGCCAATATTCGTTTTCTATTCTATAAGAATGTTATAATTCAGCTAGATTTAGGGAAATAGTTTTGTTCTATAGATTATGTTCTGTATGCAGCGACAAATGTTGCACATTATTCATCAGCGGTCTGTATTGAAGTGTGTACTTTGGTCCTCTAACGCTAGAACCGAGACTTATGTATACTGTATAGTTATTAGATTTCGCGGGTTATTAATAAGTCGTTTACACATTGCTATAGGTTTGCGCGAAAATAGTATAAACAGTTTATTTTTCATACAGTCTAAGGTGACTAGATGTGTGTGTTTATAAAGACCTGAAAGACAGGTGTAGAGTTAGATCAATGTATAACCACATGAAATATCTCCGTAAATGAAATATCAAATGCTGAGAGTTTATTGCTAACATTGATGACAAAGTATTAATTGTCAACATCAAAGTGAAACTGTTTGTCGTCTTTTTTTCTGAAGACACAGAGTTCTGTGACGAACAGCTGGAAAACTATCGTTGTGTATACACCGGAGAATGCTTTCCGATCGCCCTCAGATGTGATTTGCACGATGATTGTGGTGATGGATCAGACGAGATCAACTGCGGTGAGTTAACTTTAATTTAGTTATTTGATTTTTAAATTCTAGCTACCGTTAAGTAAGTTCATCCTACTAGATTGCAACAACTTGTGCTGCCATTAGCCTTGACCTAAACAGATTTGTGTGACAGTTTAAATCATTTTCTTACTATTATGAATTTTTCGTAAGGTTTGTGTAAATACCAAATTGTGATGAAATACCTTCCTTTACAATCACTTTTCGGGTTTGTCTATTTACTCGTTTATTGATCTATTTATTATTCATTTTTTTAAATTTCTCCTTTATTAAGTTTTATTGTCTTCTTTTACTTTTTATTGTAGATTTCCCCTTTTATTCACTTGAACGTCATCTTATTAATAATGTGGGTTTCTCTTCAATAGCTGAATCATTTTAACACGCCGTACTGAAAAACATTAATTAATGAAATACAAATCCATCAAGTAACTAGATATCAACTGATCGACATGTTTAATATAGGTTATTTATATACTGAAAGGATAAAGAAACGCAGGGTAATATTTATTCCGATATTTTGAAAACTCGTTCTCCAAATAAAGTGAAACTTTGTGGATTGAGTAATTAGGTCATATTACACCTTGTCGTGTATCGAAAATTTAGTCACGGTACAGTGCGCAGCTCTGGTAAATGGAGGAAGGAAAAAACAAGAATCTCGTGCACCGTGTTGTTTTGGTCTCATGCAGCGTTGGTCAAGTCACTCTTCGTTAGTCTTTATACAAACCAAATGCTTCCCTAAAATTAATTGAGAATTTGATTCGTTTTAAGAATGGCACGACTCACAGAAGTTCAGAGGGGTCAGGCCATTCAGATGCTGATGCAAGAACAGCTGCAAAATCAGGTTGCTTGGCACTTTGGTGTTAATGTTTCCACCATAGAACGTCCTGTAAGACGTCTTCGGGAAACTGAGCGATTGGCCAATCGACCTAGGTCAGGACGTCCGCGCGTAACGTCACGACGTCAGGATCGCTATATCGTCGTCTCTCATGTGCGTAATCGGCGCCTTACTGCCGTTGAGAGTACACTTAATGTTCGTGGAAATCATGGGCGTCCTATAAGTTCAAAAACTGTAAGGAATCGATTACGAGAAGTTGGTCTAAGAGCACGTCGCCCCTACGTAGGTCCACACCTTACCCCTGCTCGACGTCAGCGTCGTATGGCCTGGGTCGCTGCACATGCTCCACGACGGTTTCCACTGAGGCAGTGGAGACAAGTTTTCTTCACGGACGAGTCTCGATTCCGTCTTTATCGATCTGACGGCCGTCAGCGTGTCTACCGACGTCGTGGCGAACGTTTTACGGACGCTTGCGTTGTAGAGAGGGATAGGTTTTGGGGGCGGTTCAGTAATGGTGTGGGGAGGAATCTCACACGGGTTAAAATCACAATTGGTTGTTATTGATGGCAATTTAACAGCAGCTAAGTATAGAGATGAGATCCTCCGACCCCATGTTATCCCTTTCTTACAGCAGCATAATCTAACCCTCCAGAAGGATAATGCTAGGCCCCACGTAGCAAGGATTTGCCAAGTCTTTCTGGCCAACAACAACATTCAACCACTAGTTTGGCCGCCATATAGCCCTGATTTGTCCCCGATCGAGCGTCTTTGGGACCAGTTGGATAGACAGGTTCGAAGGCGCCAGCCACCCCCTGCTACTCGAGAGCAGTTGGCCAGAGCTCTGATTGAAGAGTGGGACAACATACCCATAAGACGGATTAACGCTCTCATGAACTCTATGACCAGAAGAATAAGGGCAGTGACCACAGCAAACGGAGGACACACAAGATATTGATGACTCAGTTCAATTTCAATTTCAAAATCCTATGGGTCCATTCAGTTTAATCGTTAGTACCTCTTAATCAATTGTCAGATGCAAAATACAGACTTTGAAAATTTTTAAGCTTTAATTTATCTCTAAGTATACAAAATTTCGTTTTAAATGAAGCCCGATATCATACTTAATTTCTGGTTTAAAGTTCGCCCTGCGTTTCTTTATCCTTTTAGTATATATAGTCAGTATTGTACATTATCAAATTAAAGAAGTAACCAACACGAGCTCTCAAATCATTACATTTATCTGTGCTACAGGTACAACTCAGCCATCTGCAACAACGGAGCCGAAAACAAACATTCCTACATCTACCACATCAACAACTGCAATGAATTGGCCGTCAACTTCCGAGTGGACTGAAAGTGCCTCCTCTACCATACATAATTGGGAAACCAACACACAGAAACCAACTGACCAAACAACTTACCTAACAAAAAAGGGTACAACTGGGTCATCACCGACAACAGAACCAACATCCACTAACCCGACCACGACGATCTCGACAACTAAAATGAATTGGCCGTCAACTTCTGAGTGGACTAAAAGTGCCTCCTCTACAATACATAATTGGAAAACCACCACAGAGAAACCAACGGACCAAACAACTTACCTAACCACAAAGGGTACAACTGAGTCATCACCGATAACAGTACCAACATCCACCAACCCGACCACGACGATTTCAACAACTGAAATGAATTGGCCGTCAACTTCTGACTTCACTAAAAGTACCTTCTCTACAATCGACAACAACTTCTCCAACAACTAAGGGTACATGAAATTGGCCGTCAACTTCTGAGTGGACTAAAAGTGCCTCCTCTACAATACATAATTGGGAAACTACCACACAGAAACCAACGGACCAAACAACTTACCTAACCACAAAGGGTACAACTGAGTCATCACCGATTACAGTACCAACATCCACCAACCCGACCACGACGATTTCAACAACTGAAATGAATTGGCCGTCAACTTCTGACTTCACTAAAAGTACCTTCTCTACAATGCCTAATTGGGAAACCACCACACAGAAACCAACGGACCAAACAACTTCTCCAACAACTAAGGGTACAACTGGGCCTTTACCGTCAACAGAACAAACAACAACACATCCCGCTACAACGATCGCAACAACTGAAATGAATTGGCCGTCAACTTCTGAGTGGACTAAAAGTGCCTTCTCTACCATACATAATTGGGAAACTACCACACAGAAACCAACGGACCAAACAACTTACCTAACCACAAAGGGTACAACTGGGTCACCACCGACAACAGAACCAACATCTACCAACCTCAGAACGACGATCTCAACAACTAAAATGAATTGGCCGTCAACTTCTGACTTTACTGAAAGTACCTTCTCTACAATGCCTAATTGGGAAACCACCACACAGAAACCAACGGACCAAACAACTTCTCCAACAACTAAGGGTACAACTGGGCCTTTACCGTCAACAGAACAAACAACAACACATCCCGCTACAACGATCGCAACAACTGAAATGAATTGGCCGTCAACTTCCGAGTGGACTGAAAGTGTCTCCTCTACAATGCATAATTGGGAAACCTCCACTAAGAAACCAACGGACCAAACAACTTCTCCAACAACTAAGGGTACAACTGGGCCATCACCGACTACAGTACCAACATTCACCAACCCGACCACGACGATTTCAACAACTAAAATAAATTGGCCGTCAACTTCCGAGTTGACTGAAAGTGTCTCCTCTACAATGCATAATTGGGAAACCACCACACAGAAACCAACGGACCAAACAACTTCTCCAACAACTAAGGGTACAACTGGGACATCACCGACAACAGAACCAACATCACCAACCCGAACGACGATCGCAACAACTAAAATGAATTGGCCGTCAACTTCTGACTTCACTGAAAGTACCTTCTCTACAATGCCTAATTGGGAAACCTCCACTCAGAAACCAACGGACCAAACAACTTCTCCAACAACTAAGGGTACAACTGGGTCATCACCGACAACAGAACCAACATCTACCAACCTCAGAACGACGATCTCAACAACTGAAATGAATTGGCCGTCAACTTCTGACTTCACTGAAAGTACCTTCTCTACAATGCCTAATTGGGAAACCTCCACTCAGAAACCAACGGAGCTAACAACTTCTCCAACAACTAAGGGTACAACTGGGTCTTTACCGACAACAAAACAAACATCTACCAACCCGACCACGACGATTTCAACAACTGAAATGAATTGGCCGTCAACTTCCGAGTGGACTGAAAGTGTCTCCTCTACAATGCATAATTGGGAAACCAACACACAGAAACCAACGGACCAAACAACTTCTCCAACAACTAAGGGTACAACTGGGCCATCACCGACTACAGTACCAACATCAACCGTCCCGACCACGACGATTTCAACAACTAAAATAAATTGGCCGTCAACTTCTGACTTTACTGAAAGTACCTTCTCTACAATGCCTAATTGGGAAACCACCACACAGAAACCAACGGACCAAACAACTTCTCCAACAACTAAGGGTACAACTGGGCCATCACCGACAACAGAACCAACATCCACCAACCCGACCACGACGATCGCAACAACTAAAATTAATTGGCCGTCAACTTCTGACTTCACTGAAAGTACCTTCTCTACAATGCCTAATTGGGAAACCACCACACAGAAACCAACGGACCAAACAACTTCTCCAACAACTAAGGGTACAACTGGGCCATCACCGACAACAGAACAAACATCCACCAACCCGACCACGACGATTTCAACAACTAAAATGAATTGGCCGTCAACTTCCGAGTGGACTGAAAGTGTCTCCTCTACAATGCATAATTGGGAAACCTCCACTAAGAAACCAACGGACCAAACAACTTCTCCAACAACTAAGGGTACAACTGGGCCATCACCGACTACAGTACCAACATCAACCGTCCCGACCACGACGATTTCAACAACTAAAATGAATTGGCCGTCAACTTCCGAGTGGACTGAAAGTGTCTCCTCTACAATGCATAATTGGGAAACCAACACACAGAAACCAACGGACCAAACAACTTCTCCAACAACTAAGAGTACAACTGGGCCATCACCGACTACAGAACCAACATCCACCAACCCGACCACGACGATCGCAACAACTAAAATGAATTGGCTGTCAACTTCTGACTTCACTGAAAGTACCTTCTCTACAATGCCTAATTGGGAAACCTCCACTCAGAAACCAACGGACCAAACAACTTCTCCAACAACTAAGGGTACAACTGGGCCATCACCGACAAGAGAACCAACATCCACCAACCCGACCACGACGATCGCAACAACTAAAATGAATTGGCTGTCAACTTCTGACTTCACTGAAAGTACCTTCTCTACAATGCCTAATTGGGAAACCTCCACTCAGAAACCAACGGACCAAACAACTTACCTTACCACAAAGGGTACAACTGGGCCATCACCGACTACAGTACCAACATCCACCGTCCCGACCACGACGATTTCAACAACTAAAATGAATTGGCCGTCAACTTCCGAGTGGACTGAAAGTGTGTCCTCTACAATGCATAATTGGGAAACCAACACACAGAAACCAACGGACCAAACAACATCTCCAACAACTAAGAGTACCACTGGGCCATCACCGACTACAGAACCAACATCCATCAACCCGACCAAGACGATCGCAACAACTAAAATGAATTGGCCGTCAACTTCCGAGTTGAGTGAAAGTGCCTCCTCTACAATGCCTAATTGGGAAACCACCACTCAGAAACCAACGGACCAAACAACTTCTACAACAACTAAGGGTACAACTGGGCCATCACCGACTACAGAACAAACAACACATCCCGCTACAACGATCACAACAACTAAAATGAATTGGCCGTCAACTTCTGACTTCACTGAAAGTACCTTCTCTACAATGCCTAATTGGGAAACCACCACACAGAAACCAACGGACCAAACAACTTCTCCAACAACTAAGGGTACAACTGGGCCATCACCGACAACAGAACAAACAACAACACATCCCGCTACAACGATCGCAACAACTAAAATGAATTGGCCGTCAACTTCCGAGTGGACTGAAAGTGTCTCCTCTACAATGCATAATTGGGAAACCTCCACTCAGAAACCAACGGACCAAACAACTTCTGCAACAACTAAGGGTACAACTGGGCCTTTACCGACAACAGAACAAACATCCACCAACCCGACCACGACGATTTCAACAACTAAAATGAATTGGCCGTCAACTTCTGAGTGGACTGAAAGTGTCTCCTCTACAATGCATAACTGGGAAACCACCACACAGAAACCAACAGACCAAACAACTTACCCAACAACTAAGGGTACAACTGGGCCATCACCGACATCAAAACCAACACCTACCAACCACAGAACGACGATCTCAACAACTAAAATGAATTGGCCGTCAACTTCTGACTTCACTGAAAGTGTCTCTTCTACAATGCAAAATTGGGAAACCACCACACAGAAACCAACAGACCAAACAACTTACACAACAACTAAGGGTACAACTGGGCCATCACCGACATCAAAACCAACACCTACCAACCTCAGAACGACGATCTCAACAACTGAAATGAATTGGCCGTCGACTTCTGACTTCACTGAAAGTAACTTCTCTACAATGCATAATTGGGAAACCACCACACAGAAACCAACAGACCAAACAAATTCTCCAACAACTAAGGGTACAACTGGGCCATCACCGACTACAGTACCAACATCCACCAACCCGACCACGACGATCGCAACAACTAAAATTAATTGGCCGTCAACTTCCGAGTGGACTGAAAGTGTGTCCTCTACAATGCATAATTGGGAAACCAACACACAGAAACCAACGGACCAAACAACATCTCCAACAACTAAGAGTACAACTGGGCCATCACCGACTACAGAACCAACATTCACCAACCCGACCACGACGATCGCAACAACTAAAATGAATTGGCCGTCAACTTCCGAGTTGAGTGAAAGTGCCTCCTCTACAATGCCTAATTGGGAAACCACCACTCAGAAACCAACGGACCAAACAACTTCTACAACAACTAAGGGTACAACTGGGCCATCACCGACTACAGAACAAACAACACATCCCGCTACAACGATCGCAACAACTAAAATGAATTGGCCGTCAACTTCTGACTTCACTGAAAGTACCTTCTCTACAATGCCTAATTGGGAAACCACCACACAGAAACCAAAGGACCAAACAACTTCTCCAACAACTAAGAGTACAACTGGGCCATCACCGACTACAGAACCAACATCCACCAACCCGACCACGACGATCGCAACAACTGAAATGAATTGGCCGCCAACTTCTGACTTCACTGAAAGTGTCTCCTCTACAATGCAAAATTTGGAAACCACCACACAGAAACCAACAGACCAAACAACTTACACATCAACTAAGAGTACAACTGGGCCATCACCGACTACAGAACCAACATCCACCAACCCGACCACGACGATCTCAACAACTGAAATGAATTGGCCGTCAACTTCTGACTTCACTGAAAGAAACTTCTCTACAATGCATAATTGGGAAACCACCACACAGAAACCAACTGACCAAACAAATTCTCCAACAACTAAGAGTACAACTGGGCCATCACCGACTACAGAACCAACATCCACCAACCAGACCACGACGATCGCAACAACTAAAATTAATTGGCCGTCAACTTCCGAGTGGACTGAAAGTGTGTCCTCTACAATGCATAATTGGGAAACCAACACACAGAAACCAACGGACCAAACAACATCTCCAACAACTAAGGGTACAACTGGGCCATCACCGACATCAAAACCAACACCTACCAACCTCAGAACGACGATCTCAACAACTGAAATGAATTGGCCGTCAACTTCTGACTTCACTGAAAGTAACTTCTCTACAATGCATAATTGGGAAACCACCACACAGAAACCAACGGACCAAACAAATTCTCCAACAACTAAGGGTACAACTGGGCCATCACCGACTACAGAACCAACATCCACCAACCCGACCACGACGATCGCAACAACTAAAATGAATTGGCTGTCAACTTCTGACTTCACTGAAAGTACCTTCTCTACAATGCCTTATTGGGAAACCTCCACACAGAAACCAACGGACCAAACAACTTCTCCAACAACTAAGGATACAACTGGGCCTTTACCGTCAACAGAACAATCAACAACACATCCCGCTACAGCGATCGCAACAACTGAAATGAATTGGCCGTCAACTTCTGACTTCACTGAAAGTGCCTCCTCTACAATGCATAATTGGAAATCCTCCACTAAGAAACCAACGGACCAAACAACTTCTCCAACAACTAAGGGTACAACTGGGCCATCAACAACTACAGTACCAACATTCACCAACCCGACCACGACGATTTCAACAACTAAAATTAATTGGCCGTCAACTTCCGAGTGGACTGAAAGTGTCTCCTCTACAATGCATAATTGGGAAACCAACACACAGAAACCAACGGACCAAACAACTTCTCCAACAACTAAGGGTACAACTGGGCCATCACCGACATCTAAACCAACACCTACCAACGTCAGAACAACGATCTCAACAACTAAAATGAATTGGCCGTCAACTTCTGACTTTACTGAAAGTACCTTCTCTACAATGCCTAATTGGGAAACCTCCACTCAGAAACCAACAGACCAAACAACTTACCCAACAACTAAGGGTACAACTGGGCCATCACCGACATCAAAACCAACACCTACCAACCTCAGAACGACGATCTCAACAACTGAAATGAATTGGCCGTCAGCTTCTGACTTCACTGAAAGTACCTTCTCTACATTGCCGAAATGGGAAACCTCCACTCAGAAACCAACAAAGCAAACATCTTCTCCAACAACTAAGGATACAACTGGGTCATCACCGACAACAGTACCAACAACAACACATCCCGCTACCACGATTTCAACAACTAAAATGAATTGGCCGTCAACTTCCGAATGGACTGAAAGTGCCTTCTCTACAATGCCTAATTGGAAAACCACCACACAGAAACCAACAGACCAAACAACTTACCTAACATTTAAGGGAACAACTGGGCCATCCCCGACAACAGTACCAACATCCACCAACCTCAGAACGACTATCTCAACAACTAAAATGAATTGGCCATCAACTTCCGAGTGGACTGAAAGTGCCTCCTCTACAATGCATAATTACGAAACCACCACTCAGAAATCAACAGGCCAAACAACTTACCTAACCACTAAGGGTAGAACTGGGCCATCACCGACAGCGGAACGTTCAACCACCATCCCTACAACAACTGGGTCCTCGCCTACAATTGAATCAACATCAACGACGATATCAACAATTACATTGAATTGGCAGTCAACTCAACCATCACCGACAACGGAGCCGACAACTGCAACTCCTGATATTACAACACCGCAATCTACAATGAATTGGATGTCGACATCTGATTGGACTGCGAGTACCTCTTTGGTAGTTCATACCTCGGGAACCACAACTCCCAAACTGTCAACTAGAAATACTTACGGTATCTTTAGGTCATCACCTACACCAGAAAAAGCAGACACGATCACCACAATGAATACTAACATGAAATCGACATCTGAAAGAACCTCCTGGGAAACCGTCACCGCTTCCCCCACCGTTATATTCACTTATCCATCACTGCCAACAATACACCAATCAACCAGTATTCCCTCGATGTCGACCTCTGACTTGGCTGCAAGCACTTCCTCGCAAACTACACCGACGCCAATACCAACCCCAACAATCACCGGGCAATGTGTGGGCGAGAAAGTGCCCCCTCTCGACATCAGTATCTTACGTGAAATCAATGGTGATTTTGATTATGAAAATGGTCATTTCTACATGCTACCAGATGTAAAGACGGCTTCATTAGTGTTTAATATCAGTGCCGACAGCAATGGGGTAATTTTTGATTCGCTCGGTGTTGAATTCAATCAGATAACTAAAGCGGACATCGAGATTCTCGACCCAGCAGGTTTCGTTATCGAACCATCATTTACGGTAAGACTCTTCTATACATTTTAACAACTCTTGTCATATCAAAGTAGATACAACCTATGACTGTCAACTGATAACGGATATCCCCGTTGATGCCAAGCGTTCATACATCACTTGTTTTTGTTTCTGTCCTAAATACCTCAACGTTCTATGTTTGAATTGACCCTTGTCATGCCCCATCTCCTCATAAATACATGTATTCCGTGACCAGGCTACCAAGTAAAAAGGACGTGTTCATGAAACACTATGCCCCTTGTTACAAAAAAAGACTGAAGTGGGAGGCATGTGCTAAATGCATGTACTTTTTAAATTCAAATGTAGGTCAAAAGTCAAGGTCAAGGTCACATTGTCAAAACCATTGGTACCACTGGCATGGTCTTGTCAGAAGGAACACACATGCCAAATAAACTCTACCTCCTAAGGTGCAATAGCTATGGGCAACGTGGAAGTTTACAACAGAGAAATACGCAGCACAAAAACACACAATAATGTGATATTTTTGTATTGGTTCCTAAATTTAGTTGAACTCCTGGCAAGATATATCTAATCATAAGACTTCTTACGACAAGGAAATCGGTTACTTTGGACTATAGTACAACTACTGTATATTGTAATTACTATTCTGTACAACTCTTATACATCAGTTCTCAGCGTAATAGGGCAATATCTCAACCACTAAGAACTCTTCATTGTATTTCGTAAATAATGGTTCTCGAAGCAATTGACCTATCAAATTATATACCTACATAAATTACACCATTAAGTATCAGTAAAACAATCGGTGAACAATGGGATATTACAAAAAAAACATCTATGTATTCACTGGGTATGCAACGTTTCTGCCGAAAAAAATATGTATTCACATCTGCACATGGTCCCTAAAATTCCATGTGAAGTTTCATTGAAATTTAGAATAGACAAGCTTATCCAAATAAACCCTTCGTTGCGGTGGGGCGGAGTGGTGTTGGGGGGATACACATCTGTCACATTTGTGTAGAGGAATCAAAGCTACAATTGACATGTGTGATACTTGGTTTGACGTAATTGTTGGTATAATGATACCAACAGAATAAACATTCTTCAGATCTCAATGTCTTGTATTGATATGTTGTCTTGTAGAAATCTTATCATATTTCCATTTAATTTGACGATACGGTTAATTCAACTTTTATTTTAAAACTGACATATACAATCTTCTTTACTCTTCAGGTGTTGGGGCTTGAAGGAGAACCATCCCAAATAAGAACGGTGAATTTAAATAATTTGTCTGGTGGCATTGCACTTCGCATGAAACTCACACTTGCATCTAATCACACTTCGGCCTACATAGCAGATGTATCAATCATGGCTTGCTATACGCCAGGTGAGTCATTTTCAATATGAGTTACCTGTTTTGCTTATGCGAATGTCAATGGATATCGTTGTAATTTCATAATTCTTTGTGTTGAACAGTGTGCGAGAAGATCGTTATGGACGAATCTTTCAGTGACTGTTTAGATATATCTACGAACCTGCTAGGTGTTGATCCCTTCAACGTTCTGATGCAAACCCAGGCCCAACTGACAATGTCGATGACGTCACTGGTAACTAACGGAGAACCAGAGTTCTATCTCTCCATGTATTTTACAAATGTCACCACCTTACCAGTGTGCCGTGTAGAATTCGTGGCGGTAAATGTTACCAATGTGTTACTGAGTTACGTCGTGAGTGGTTCTACTGAACTAATTGAAGTGGTAAGTTAATGCATGATGTACTATTAAAGAAAAATCTAAATCAAGATAGGGATTTGCGCTAACGTTATAATTCAGGAAATTTCGTATTATTTATATATAAGATGATTTAAGAATAAGGTCGAGTAAGATAGAACAGGAATCAGTTCTATCCAACAATACAGTAAGCTGAGATTGAGACACAGAAGTGAATCGCTCCTTTTAAAACAAATTCATAATTGGGATAAGTTTAGCCCGATAAAATATTTAAGCAAGTTGTTAAAAACACACACGTGATTGTCATGTTTCCATACTAATTATAATTGGATAGTGTATAGCTAAAGAAGGAGTAAGTCTTTGTCAAACATCTGTTTTGTCCTTCTGAGGGGGGGGGGGGTCCTTTCGGGACACCTGCTCTTAATTCTCCTTGTACTTTTTAATTAGCTAATCTTTCTTTTGTTCATTTTTGCTGAAGTTCTATCTAATTTGAGTTTGGATTATGATTATATTGATATGCTGATTCTTTTTAAAGAGTCAACACTTGTACTACGGCGGGAACGACGAGGTCCATGTCTCTATTGACCTGAATGACACGCCAAGGGTATCAGGATTCACTCTAAAGTATTATGGAGAACCAAGCAGCGTGATGGAAATTAAAGACTTTGTTATCGTCGCTTGCGATGCATTCAGTAAGTTCCATGGTTAATTCATGGTTGTTCATTTATTCTAAATTCAGTTTAAACCGTTTGTCAATGATATCAGAAAAAATAGCCCAGTGTTAGCTTGATTCCTATAACAGATATTATTATTGTTATATAAGTCCGAATGTACAAGTGGTACTTAGAATTAAGGAGTAACGAAGATTAGCCATATCGTACCTGTTAGGTTCTTCACACATATGATCATATAATGAACCGTCAACTGTTTTTCTATGTGATGTATAACTGTTATGTACTGTTACATCGTTAATGTTGGGGGTGTTTTCGTCGATGTCGTGGGTATTATAATCCAAACATTCGTAGGTTTATGAAGGTCCAGAATTAACTAAACAACAAATCCATGAGTAGGGGCTTACAAAGGGGTCGCCTGTTGCTTAATACCCTGTGATTTTTTTTCCATAAAATCTTTGAGAAACGAAAAAATGTGAAATGAAAAATATCAACATACACATAGTTTTTTCGAAAGAATAAAAAGAAAAAGAAATATGAGCCCCCAAAATATATTACATTGATATGTTTTTTTCCTCTTTTCAGATATGACATTACTTACAGCATCAGGTATTTATGGGATGTTCTTATCTAAATTGTATTCTTATTTCTTAATTTCATACATCTACGTTTATCTCCTATCATACACACCTAAAACTCTCGCACAAACACAAACCATCATTATGTCAAACACCGATCGCAGGGTTTAGATATTCATGAAAACGAGCACAAGTCGCGAATCGTGCAATAACTAAGGTGACTACGTACCAGCTATGGCGTGATTGGTGGATTTTTCGATGTGAGGCAGGTAAGTATAAGGTAGGTATAATTATTAATGACATTTTTATTTTTGTAGAGACAGGTAAGTATTTTGCAGGTTACCCGGTATAGGTAGGTATAATTAATATACCTTTGTTCATTTTTCAGCTACGTTTAATATGTTTATTTGCTTTTTGCTGTTTTTATCACCCCGGTAACAGCCACAGTCATTTTGTGGCGGGATTTCCTCGTAGTAGCTGTACCTCACTGAACAACATACAGGAGGACCGTTGTATGCCAAACAGAGCATATAGTGTTAAGTGTCCTACCCTAAGATAAAGCCAAGTCAGCACAGACCGGTCCTATTCTCAGCTTTTTTAAAAACACAAACGGACTCCAACAGAGAGCGTTGAACAACTCATCACGGATCTCACGGACACTTCCACATATTCACTGCTAAAATTAGGTGAGTAACGCTAATGTGAGAATTGTATTGACTTAAAGATTAAGAAGGAAGGTTCCCTTTCCTATTATCAATAGATAGGCATAGAATAGGTAGGTACCAGCTTATTTTTTTCTTATTGAACAAATTATAACCGTATAATCAATTACTGACTATGTTATCATATTTTTGCGATTCAATTGTTGATTAAAATTGCTTTAAAATAACAGTTCGTAAACACATATATTTGTGGATTAAGTGTATCCATTAAAACAAATACCCGACGAAATTTGAGGAATGTACAGTATATTTAGCAAATATGTTCTCGTGTCCAGTATGTTACGAAGGTACATAAATAAATCTCATTGTTGTAGACACAAGATTGTCAACAGTTAAGTGTTCAAGTCGTCACATCATCAGGGATTGCTTTTAGTGGGCGTTAAACATTTCGGCGTAACGAGTATAACAACATGCGTTCGATATTTTGATAAATCGAGCGTTTGGGGGGAAAAAGAAAGAAAGGAAAAGGAAATTACAACACAGTGTTGTTATTTAATATTCCAGCCGTTGGATTTTAAATTTAACAACACACTTTGTAAAATTAAGAGCAAGTTGATGTTAACTCAAAACTTTGATCAGCTGTTTTTGAAACATGAAACATATCTCGTTTCTTCAATTTTTTCGGATCGTCCAGTATGCTCATATCAGAGTTCCGAAATGTTGTCAAACGTTCTGTCATAGTTTACTGTCACGATAAATGCTTCTGCATGTATTGAGCTCGCAGGAGGAGCGAAAGGTAAGTTTTTACTTCCCAATTATCCCGAATACCTACCAGTAGCTTGAGCTGAAGAAGTTCCTGACTTCTCTTCTTCAATATACCGCTTGTTTTAATAGTAAATTGTAATAGTTCATTTGCTATTTGGTCACTGGGTCAGACTGCATCATATGCTGTAAAAAATACGTTAGATGTTTTCAAATGTAGTAACAAAAAAAAATTATATTAAAGACAAGTTTTAAATACATAATTAGTCATTATTGAAGGTTTTGATATGATTCTAACTCTTTCTAACTTTTTTAATGTATTCTTTTGAAGCTCTGGGCCTGATATATCACTTAAATTCATCCGTCTTCCTTTAGAGGCAAAGTCAGAAGCAGTTTTCACATGTTCCGTCAAATGCTGGCCTGTCATGTTAAAATTTTCATAATTAATTTTTGGAAAATTTCCTTTAAAAAATGAGAAAAAGGTGTGAATTATCCATGATTTATTTCGTTTGCTATAGATATACACATCCCAACAAACCTTTATAAACCGATGTAGCGCATTAACATATAATTGCTGGTAGGAATAAATGAAAGTGTGAATACTGCTTAAGGTCAGCAATGAACGTGTACCACTTGGCGAAATTTTCAACCTTTATTCGCTTGTTTCTTTCACTAAAAACCAAGTTTCATTATATATTACTAAAATGTTCATCGCTGGCCGCTAGGGGGCACTCTCTTATTTTGCGAGAGTGAATGCTTCAATAAAACCGAAGCACACACTTGTAGTAAAAAGTATGTTTTAATTTCCATACACTTAATGAATCACTCGCCTCGTTTACAACAGGAGTCATCCGTAAATGATCCTAGTTTTTAATAAGACGTTAAACAATATCACACCAAATTACCGTACGCGTGCCTCGTGCTTGTTTCTCTGTGTTAATATTCACCAATACAAGGTGACTGGGTGGGTATGACCGTATCTATCAAGCCGACACAGACCATTGATATTCGTCGGTGAAACAGCGTCTAGCAACAGGAAGAGTCAGAAAAAACAAGAAACCTTCAATCAAAAAATTCCATATAATAGCAAAATTATCAATGATGGAGATATACAAATGATGTAAAATATTCAGACATTGTGAAGCATCATGAATGTCTGCCAAAAGCATAATTACCTATAAATGTTTTGTTTAGTCATCAGTATAATACAGCATTGTTTTAACTGAACATTTTCTTCACAGGACACCTTAAATGTTGGAGAAAACAGTTTATATTTAAATGTATTAACTTTGTTTTTTAAAGATGGATTCCTTTGTTTTGATAATCTGTGGAATCCTCGGGTATGCTGCATTTGTTCAAATGCACAATCTGTGCATTCTAACAGATCATCAGCACACCAATTAAGTCAGGCTAGTGTGAATCAGATGTGGGATAAACATAACTGAACATTAAGCTCTATTTGATTCATGTATGCTGAAGATGACCCAGGGGCCATGAAATTCACAACTTTGGTAAGCACCTTAAGATGCTTCATGGTATGAAGAATGTTTGATTCTACAATACCTGGGTGTTGAGAAGAAGATTTTTTGAAATATGAGTCAATTTGATCCCACCCTTCAGGGCCCTGTGGGATGTGGTCTGTATAATTCACAATTTTGGTTCATCTTACGCTAGGAAATGTTTCTACAAAGGTGCTTGCAATAGGTCACCATGAGACTTTGTCTCAGACGGCCCAATAATAACTTGTCAAATTCAAGGTGATCACTTTTCAGCCATTTTGCTTTTTTGATCGGTACAAAATTCAAATGGCCTAACTACGGACCAAAGAAAAAGATATAAGTAAAAGAAATATTCCTGCATTACTTCAAAAAACGATAGCAAGGATTGTTTATGGATGAACATATCTGAGATGAAGGGCAATTTGAACAGCTCACCATCTAATGATGGGCTAGAAATATCTGAAATGTTCACACCTGAAGCCTGAGGAACATCATTTAGACAAGATCATAGAATAAGACAACACAGTGTCTGCAAGGACCAAATAATATTTCCTACAAGCCACATACTTTAATACTTCAACTGTGTGCTACGCAAATCATACTGAAGACTGGAACTTGTTTTAGCTGGATCGAAACAGCTGTCCATCTGTGTAACTGGTGTACTGAAGACCATGATGATGGGATCAAAATAGAGCAATTTGATCACAGGATCATGTGTTGTCCATTGTGTACCTGAGAAATATTGCAGAAGTAATGTATCCAACAACAGCATCCTACATGTAATTCTTAGGCTATGTGTATGACAATGAGCAACCAGAAAAACTGACTTTGATTGATTATCTTCTAACTTTTAGCCTAGAAATAAAGTAGTTTTCAAAGGTTTTTAAAGGTTCTTGAACATGTGTTTTCCTGCCTTATATTATAACCACAGGTAAAAAGGACCACAAGTTCATATGGTTTGGAACACTAATTTAATTTGATTTTTCTGGGTTATGTGTTTTAGTTTTCTATAATATTTTATTTTTCTATAATATTTTAAGGCACTCCTCTTGAAGTTTTAATTTTTGCTTGCCTAGGCTTGCATAAAATAAAAAAATCATTTTATTCACATTTCATAAAATCTCATATGAAATAACCTCATTTAAGATCTTGTATATACAGGTAGGTTTTAACTATTTCGTTTTTAAGATGTGTGATATATTATTATCTATTCACCATTACTTGTGTCTGTAACTGAAGCTACAAAGTTTTAATAAAATATTAACCATACTTAATACATTTATGTGTTCCATCTTTATAATCAGATTAAAGTTAATATTGAAGATCAACAAACAATTTTGACAGCTGATTGCCGAATAACTCAACAGCTAAACGTAATCCGCTTCATAAGTAGCATCATTGAGATCACTGTTAGTTTGATGATTTTAATGAAAATATATTTTGTGATATTAACTTTTTGTAGTCTTACTATCTGCAAGAATTAAGATTATAGTTATAAACAAAATATTGAACAATATCTGTTTCAGATATGCACGGATACCTAATTAGAGCCTTATATAGATTAAAACTGCTATTACTTACTAATCTCGACTTCAGAACACACATATGAATAAAAACATATGTATGATTGTTGCTTGAATAACTGTAACTATATATTTACCTTTGATATGAACAAAAGCATTAGAGATTACATTAATTTTTTTGCATAATAACAATGATCTGATCACATTTCCAAATTAAAACTTGGCCACTATCATGGTGAAAGACCAATGAGTAAATTCTTATATCATTACTGTCTTTCTCATTTGATACCAAGTAAGAGTTTATATGGTTATTGGGTTGATATCTCAGTTATGTCAAAAATGTGACCCAGAAATAATGTTCCTAAAGGTGTGCCATCCTCAAGAGTCCATTCTTACATAACAAATGTGTTGATCTCTTTATATCAATAAATTATATATATATATATATGTTATGAGGGGGGATTTCCACCGTTTTAAAGGTATAACTGGAAAATTATGTTCAGAGGGGCCAGTTCATCATAAACGTGTTTATCTCTTACTGTCCAGCATATGGTTAAGGAGTAGGGATCTCAATTGCTTCAAAGATATTACCAAGAAAGTGAGTTACTAGGAGTGAGGCCAGACAGGCCAGACCCCAGGGTCAATTCATATATCATGATTGTTTTTATCTCTTCATGCACAGCATGTTATTTATAGTTATGGAATGGGGATCTCAACTGTTTCAAAGAAACATGGGGTGGAGCTAGGCCCAGGGCCAATTTTAAATTACCTGCTGTATCGAAACATAGGAAATCAAGCAATAAGATAGCTCTCTGACAGCCATTTTGTATACCTGGTAACTGATGAGATAAAATTAATGATTTATGATGTATTCTATAAATCTTCAATGAAATGAAAGCGAATTAAGTTTTTGTTTATCATATCATTAACTTGCTTATTTTGCAAGTATAAGTGAAAATACCACAATCAAATATTTTTGCTCTTTCGCCAATATTCTGTTTTAATTGACAGAAAAAAAATAGAATAACTTACCAGTTTATACATAGACAATTCAAGCTCCATGTAGATCTGAATTATGGAAAAAAAACTTGGCACTATTAATGGCATAATTATTAAAGTCTAAATAATAAGAAATTGTAGATGACAATCAGAATCTGAAATGTGTATTTAGATTCTATGTTTTCTTATGACAGATTATATACTTGGTTAGAAATTAAGCTCAATGTGGAGTTGAACAATTAACTCTAAACATAGCACAAGTTACCAATTAAAGTCCAGTTAACAGTAGCAAACTGCAGGTGAAAATAAGAATTTAAAATGAGTGTTGGAATGGCCATATTGACATATAAAAACATTCCAAAATTGGTTTATGATGACAACTTATAAAGTTCCAAGCTAACCAGAAATTTAATATGCTGCAATTAATCACTAAATTCAGTTTAACTTTTAACTTATGTGAAAATCTGTCTTGATGGTTATATATAGATATTCTGTTTTGTTATGATTGTTTTTTGTATTTGATGAGAAATTGACCTCGGTGTGGAGCTAAAGACAAAACTTTAACAAGGTGTGGAGTGTTACACAATTTTTTTCTAATCTTATTGACATTTCAATTATTTTAACCATATGACACATCTTTTCAGAGTATGATTTAGATGTGTGAAAACTGCTTCTGGCTTTTAACTGAAAGGTATAGAAATTATTTTATGGATCCAAATCTGCACTAAAAATATTTCATTTAAACTAAATTAAGAAAATATTGGTCATGTCAACAATTATTCAATAGTTGTCAACTACACAATCACTTCTCCAAAGGAATTTGGATACTGTGGTGCCACAGATCTACTCATCATCATGATTCAATTGCCGTATATGCGAGGATCCTACAACTGCAATCCTAACCATATTATCAGAACAAAACCTGCTTTTGAATTGGTTTTACAAACGAGAAATATAATGTTTTACGTACCCACGTGCTTGTAGACCGGCGTGAAAGGAAGTTTCAAGACTTTCGAAGTACTTTAATTTCGTTCAGGGAGAAGGATGTCTCAGGATTATACCAGTTACTTTCAAGGTATGTTTATGCCAGCTTTCTGTAGTGTTCTGATAGGCAGGCTTGAAATATACGTTATTTGTATGATTAAAATGGTAACCGTACGTGAAATTATGTGTAAAATAATCATTCAGAATTGTAAACTGTATGGTACATTTTGACGCGAAAAATACGAAACTAAAGAATAATACTACACGCGGACTAAGAAAATTCAGAGCTGCAGAAAGTCACATTCATTATCTATCATGGGATATAAAAAGAGGCCCAGTATCGCTCACCTGGATCTTTATGACCAACAGTACTATATCTGTGCATATGTTCCACGTTTAATACATTTGACCAAGTGACCTTGAATATGGGTCAAGGTCATTTCTTTTTGCAAACTTTGTTGGGCTTCATCAAAGGAATTTTCCAACCAAATATGATAACTCTACACCTTTCGGTATTTCAGAAGAAGTTGTTTAAATGAAAAGTTGACGGATAGACGGACGGCGGAAGCCGCGGTATGGCATAACCGCACTTGGCCCTTTGGGCCAGGTGAGCTAAAAATGCCGTGAGATCCCACCCAGTGGTCCTTATGTCCTTTTGCTAGAAACCAAGAACTGTAACATGTTCTATCGGACATTTATTTCTAGAGGTTCTGGCTTACTGAATACTAAACAAACGTGATCAGGTGAGGTATTAACATGGTTAATACTACTCTCCAGAACTTCTCAACATACAAGCGTCTGGGCGACCATGATCACGAATATGACTTCCTTTTTCCAGTTGCATGAAAAAAACCACTAGTTCTAGTGTAAGAAAAGCATAGTTTTATTATGGATTTATAGTGATTTGTAGTGTACATTAAAGGTCAATGGTACACAACTTTCACTCCTTATAAGATCATACATACTGTTAATACCCTCTCACACCATCACACACCGTCCTTCCAAAATGTTACGATATCTTTTCAAAAAGAGGTAAAATCAAAAGACGACCAGAAGCATTTTTAAACACAACATAAACTATTATCACTAAAACATTTCTTCTTCTTGCAAGACGTTTTATGATTCTTTTATCTGAAGTTAAGTAACTCTTTGGTATTGACATTTGAAGTATTTTCTTGTGACGTTGAAGCAGGTTCCTGGTTCTATATAATCCATAATCTGGACATTTTTTTCTTGTGCTTGGCCTCCTCTTGAAAACAATATCACACGATGGACAGAACAATAGACATTAATCATAAAATTATATCCAGGTTCTTATTCTGATTGGTACATATAGAATATAACTCAATAAAACACAGAAAATCAGAGCCAAGTGTCTTTTAGATGGAGCCATTTGGTGATTATTTATGTAAAAAATATATATATATATATATATTAATTGTTGACTTGGCAGCTCTCTCTCTAGATCCAAATTATATAACTAACAACCTAATTTTGATGTTTTTTCATATATTTTATTAAATCCGCTCATGATTTTGCCATAAAGACCTAACAAATCACACTTCACACAATTTTTCATGTTTATGATCACAACAATACCAAAGATATTGCTACATAAACCTTTCTCACATTCACCATCCCTTTGATCCACTAATTACTTAATAAAATCTAATTAATCAAACATCTATACATCATGTACAAATTCTTATATACAACAATGATATGTGCAAGTGTAAAAAAATTTACATACAAAAATAATGAGGATTATATGGAGTTATACATACTGGTAATATAATCACAGAATATCGACGGATTTTTGCATTCATAACGTCATGTTGTCAACAGAAAAATATGATTAGTAATCCAATCTTATTTGCATCATGCATAAATTATCTACTAAAGACTAAATCTTTATACTCTAGATGTATTAACTGGAATATTTTTAATCAGGAGGTAGAGACAAGGCTGAGGAATGTACAGATTAACGCAGAGTTTGGACCAAGATTTTTAGCAGCCTCATCATCTGGTAATCAATCGCATCTATAAATCATATGTAAGATTCCAATTCAAATTGCACCTTTATATTAGAGTCTGTGTCCGAAACGATGAAAATGTGACTCTATATTTGTGATAAGTAAAAATGATAGCACTTCAAAGTCTACAGAATCTGATCTTAAGATGTTGGCTAAGTCTAATTAATATCGCACTTCCTTGTGATTGTTGTAAAACCAACCAAGTTATTGTGTAAAGATAACCGCAACATATCGTCCGAAATCAATTTATAGGTACAATTTATTCAGTGAAACCTTGAACAAACCCAGCTGTTTGCATTGTTATACAGAAATGAAGTGTCCTTAATAACTTTTCCTGTGTCAGAAATTTAGCAACATGTTTCACCATTACAGCTATTCCACCTCAGCATTTTAATTCACCAGATTTACCGACATCAAAGTGAATTCTTACTGTTATACATTTTAGGACACTCTTTATGAAAGAAATTAGTCTTTTACCATAGAAATTATCCACACCCAAAAGTTTATCCAATGTGTAAGCTTCCAAAGAACTTAGAGTTGTCTCCCTTGGAATTTCGTGTTGTTTACCCTAGTCACAAACCATCAACAGTAGAAAAGGATAAAGATGAAGATGATAAGAATAATATTCCTATAGAGAGAAAGATTTGTTAATATTAGTGTACAGTAGTACAGAGACATCTACATCAATACATTTCTAACTGATTTTGTCACACTACGCTGTCTATAATAACGTTTACTTATGTACACAGTAATTCATAATGAATTTGATGGCACTTTAAATCGTTTTGAGATTACTAATCTAAATGCAATATAATCAATTAACAATATACTACACGCCATATCAACAGTTTAGTTCAAGTGAAGATCCCACTGGTATTCCCTAATTCTCTTAACAACCCATGGAAGAACTATCCACTGTATAAACAGATTCAGAGAAAGAATTGGTAAATTCTTCGAAAAGTTCCATGACTTGCAATGCCCATTGTCAGATTCAGTGAGAATTTGTGTTCAATAAATCTCTACTTGTATTTCTGTCTCCGCATCTCAATGTATTGTTACAACCATCAACAATAAAACAAACCAAATATCTTTCAAACAATTCAAGTCTCCATGTTAAATAACAACCTTACATATATACCACTTTCTCTTTCCTTGTATACTGTAAAATATATATTTCCAGAGTTATTGTATTTTAGGGGTTCTCACACTGAAAGAGTTGCACTTAAATATTATAGAGCTGATTGCAACTTCTGAATGTAATCTTTACAGAAATCGTAGTCAATACACTTTCTTATGATTCCGTTTGTTTACCAAAAAGAGTTAATGCCTAAAATTTGTTTTTGCCCGTAATAATGCATTGTGCATGGTATCTGGATCCACAACACATTATCCATATGACCTCAATTTCTTTCCGTGATTTTTTCTGTAACACATTCCTATCACAATTACTTTTTCATAGTTTTTGATTTTGATAAAACAGAAAAAAAAACAAAAACAAAAAGAAACTAAAATGTAAACAAGAACTTAAACCAGATTTTTTCTTCTCTCTCAAAATATTTCTCATATCTGAATTCCTGTGCGAGTTGTGAATTTCCAATCTCTAACTATACACAATATACAGGTATTTGTATAAATGTTCTCAATGATATTGTCTGCCATAGGAGGTGTATATATAGATATTTTACCTAAATTTTCATAAATCAACACATTAAATTTTAAAATTGATAATTAAAAATACTTTGTTTTAACTCTTAAAACAAACACACAGGAATGTTATCTTTCTTAATGATTTGATTCCAATGATACATAACAGTGATTTCATGTAAACATAAATTTCACAAATACATTTAATCAACATTGATTATGGATAACATCTACAAAAATCGGAATCACATTCCGTTTAATTCACTAAAAAATCAAACAATGGTACGATCACACAACAAAGTACTTCGAAACCAAAAAAAAAACTTTGTTGAAGTAAAAAGTATAGAATTAGAGTTTAAAACAGCAGAAATTCACACAAAGTGTGACATATATTTGTAGTAGCATGATATGTATATATTAATTTACGTTTTTAAAAACAACATCAAAAATATCTCTACATGATGTAACATTTAAAATTGTTTAACTTTTTATTCACCAAATGTTGTCAAATCTACTATTTTTCTATAATTCCATTCCATATTTTCTTTTCTGATGCAAAACTACATATTTCCATACAGAAGAGAATTATTTCCCTTTCAATCTGTATAGATATCTAACATATCTGACACCATCAAACACTGAAGTGTAATGAGAACACAGCTTCGTAAATTTATGTCCAACTACTAGTATTTATGTATAAGATAAAATACAGATATTTTGGTAAATATAATTTTTAATGTCTTTCCTTTTCCCAATCTAGCTACTGATACTTATAGATATACATATCCCTATTGTCTTGGCTATTTACCTTTCATTAGTTAGCTAACACAATTCTGTTGTCTAGATATCATAACTTGATAATAACTATTCCTTTTTTGTATATTTATCTGTAACTTTTCTCAATATCTCTATTCATGTTATGTAAGAATTTTACAAATTTCTTACAGATTTCTTTTCAATTTTGAATTTTCAAAGGGAAGTAACTGTGTGTAGTGAAGGTGTTGTATACACAAGCTGTGTTGGATATTGGATGTGTCTATATCTATTTCTGTTCTGTTTTTTTCAGGAAGTGAAGAGTTTGTCTCATCTATCAATACCTCTTTACAGAGATCACTTAAACTGCTGATAACCAATCATATACCATATACAAATTGATGAAATTTCCATTCCAAACATTATGATGTAGTTTCATACCGAATGAGATATTGTAGCTTTCGTTTATCATGTATGAGACATGAAATAATGCATAAATCCACAAATCGTCCCATCTTCAATACAATATGTTGGTAGCACAATCCTGTCTTTCACAATCAGAACCGAACACATCCATTATTCACCTACATACTCAACATGCTCTTTAAATTGACTGCATAAATTGATTTTGTCAATACCATTATTCAGACCTCCCTGTGACAGCTGGGTTAAGCTGAAATAATATACATGAGGTTACACAGAAGATCCAATACCAACAGGATGTCCACCTCCATCCATTGACCCACCGTCTCGGTCATCATCACTGTAATCATACATTGCCTTGTTGGAGTGACCACGTCCATCATCATAATCTCGACGATCACGATCCCGTCGGCGAGATCTCTTCTCTTCACGTGGCTCATCCAACGCATTGTTGTCATGTCCATGTTTCTGTAACGACGAAAATTGTAATAATTACATTTTGATTTTATACTGAAGTCACAAGCATTGCCCGTATTTCTAGACAAAAATGAAACAAAAACATCATTTATATTCACTAAACAAAAAAACAAAACACACACAACATAGTTATGAAAAGTTAATATAAATACAATCCAGAAACATTATATTCTCATGCATATTTATACGGATTTAGCTGGACACACCAGATTAAAATAGCTACGAGGCTATTTTAGTCTGTAGAAGTTACCTCCCTTCTCATTGCACTGACATTCAGAAGACAAATACAAGGCTGTTTGAATTATCAGTTCAACCAAGGTTGTTTGCTTATGACATTGAACTACTACTGACTTTACTAATTATTCTTTCATTGTATTAATTCTTCCATGTCCAACCTGATGTTTCAAATCTGAAATCTTTAGATTTTAAAGTGCAGATGAACTGATCTGACCGCAGAAAGGAGTAGGCCACAGGAGTCGTAATTTTCACAACTTTCATTAGTTACTTGTGAATATTTTACATATTATCTTCCCTGTTTACAAACATGTGTTGGTTCTCACACAGTTTGTATTTATGATGTTGTAGAGAATGACTTTACAGTCTTATTTTATCACTTAGCTATAACACCATTCCAGTAATTACACTAAACATTATAAATGTCATCAATTTAGCAATCATTTGCAGATGCGTGAATTCATAATTGCACAAATTTGTCTAAAATTGAAATTGTCCTTAGAGTATTTTTAGGATATGTATTCAACATTTTTTGGGGGAGGATTTTTTTTAAAGTTTGGATCCTTACAAAACTGAAGGTCAAAAATTTGGTGATAATCATTTCATGAAGACTTCCTAATCAAAGAGTGTTTTTCTTCATAAACATTCACATCTAAGATTTTTAAAATACTGTATGCTGGGAAACGTTACCCTGGATTAAATTGTCTTTGTATAATCTCTTTGTTTTTCTCCTTTAATTCATGAAAACATCTCAATGATGATAGCCCACTTGATATTTTCACCTTGATGGCAAAACGGACTAAAGTAGAAAATACCGCAAATTTTTCCCTGTATTCAGTAAGTATTTGGAAAATACATAAATATTTTAACTGAAGCAAAATTTTTTTAATTTTGATGAAATTAAGAAATCAATACTGGCCCAAACCAAAAAAGGGTTAAACCAAGATTATTTTTAAGTTGAAGAATGCAGTGCAAGAAAAAAATAGAAACTTGATTATTTTGACCTTCAGTAGAGGTTGACAGATTCTACATGAATGACTAGACAGTACTGATGATTCCTTAAACTTTACAGATTGGAAAGAGAGGATTATTTCGTAATGAAGATTTACCTCTGTGACGGAACACAATGAACAAATGTGGATAAAGTGGATGGTTACTTAATGTGGACTTCTGCAGGACAAATTGTGGTATTTTGTCCTGAAGAAACCTAAATGTTCGGGTGTAACCGGTAGATGTAGTAATAAAGTTATCACATTGAAGATCCAAAGTTTGTTGTGATTGACCACACCCCTTTCTTAGTTTGTACAATTCTTAAATCGCCACAAAACCTACCATACCTACACCTGAAGTACGACCTTGGCTCTACACCCCTAGTGGTAAGTAAGATACCATACAATAAAACATCAAAATAGTGACAAGATGTAACAGTGTATGTCTTTTTATTTCATAGTTCCTGGTATTAACATGTTATAATCAGATCGATACGTTGTTTAGATAATTCTATCACAGCAGGTGCATAACTTTAGTTCTTAGTGAAGCTCTCAAATACATCCTACAAAATATATTTATCTAGTACACAACTAAATAATTTTTTTTTCTTAAAAGGAGGAAAATATCAAAATGCTATGTCAGAGAGAGACTGGGAAGAAAATGTCAAAAAATCTTGTTCTGTGAAACTCAAATATGTTAATGAAAAACACTGATAAAGTATACAGAGAAAGTGAAGGAAAAGTTCTGTGTTTTATGTTTTTCAAATACATCATCCTCTTATAAGTAATTACAAATGGATAAAAAATTGTGTAACAATTCCTTAGGCACATATCTTGGTTACTTAGTTCAAACACCAATAAATAGTTTGTATTAATTATCATCTTCATATTAGAGTGTATATCTAGTTTGATAATCCTTTCTCTGGATACTTAACATCAGACTTTCAATCTTGTTTACTACATACATAACCCATTAGTGTTGATTTTTTTTCAGATATAAACAAACTGACAATATAAAATGTTTTAAGTACTGTATGATAAAATTATACTTGATTTGATATAAATCCAGATTAATATGGTTACATCAATGTTTCAGGCAAAATAGATTTTCAAATTATAAAAAATTAATGAATGAATTGAGAGGTGAATCAAATAATGAATTTTATAACAAAAAAGTTTTTAATTAATTGACAGTGGACAAAACACAACAGTTTATAAATAACCAGCAGCTTTTTATCAAACATTAGTAAAATCTTCTCAAATAATGCGATATTTTCATAAAACTTCTTGGTTTTTTAAGCCTGAATGTGATTCTCAAATGGATATGATTACAGATGGTCACTTATAAATAAATATTTCTTGTCAAATTTAAAATTCCAGGTGTGAACACACCCATGAATTTGTAAAAAAGAAATTAATGAAATAATGAGGAAGGTTATTTCATTAACACATGTATCTACTTCAAAGATAGTTACCAAGAAAAACTCTCTTAAGATTCAAAACCGCAAAAAAATTAATTCTTTAACAAAAACAAAAACAAAATGTCTGCTTGTTATACAGTGCAACTGAATATAAGTGGTAAATGAGTTTTAAAACACTCATTAATTGAGATTAAATTGGAATGAAAGTGACAACATTTTAACAAATTCATACACGGATGAAAATAACATATTATAACAAGTCTAATGAATACAAAACATTTATAAAACAAGGGTAACATCTACTGGCTTAGTATATCATACTGGACCGATGTAATATTGATTAAACAACATCCCTGCAAGTGTCCAAGTCTTACTTCACGATGTAGAACATTAAATGAAGGGACCTTCTGATATTTGTGACTTTGATATACTGTAAATCATAACACTTTCTATGTTTCCATTTTTCCATAAATTTTTTACTGAAATATACATTAATTTAGCTTTCTGACCTTCTGATATTTGTGACTTTGATATACTGTAAATCATAACACTTTCTATGTTTCCATTTTTCCGTGTATATTTTACTGAATTATACATAATTTTAGCTAAGAGACTTTATATCACCATGGAGACATGTACATTGCATATAAAATTTCATTAATTAATATTGAATTTGTATGAAAGTTGTGATATCCCGATTAACATTTAGTTATCATATACCTTAAAGAGATTCTTTTCTTGAATACATAGAATGTCTAATATTCTTCTCTCAAAATAAAAATAATGTTAATGATAATGTTATCAGGCAAGATGTAACAGTACACTAGATATACCTATATATAAAAATAGACAAGGACAGAATCACTTTCTTTGGTCCCGTTAAAAAATAATCATAACATGATTCCAAGGTGTAGCCAAGTAATCACAGTTCTTTGTCATTAGTATATTTATTCTGTAATAAATCGTGGGTTCCAACATACATTACTTCTAATTCAAGGTCAGGGGGTGGGCTTATTACATGACAATGTCTTGTTGCCTTATTCATCAAATTTATTATCTAATTTAACATTTATCTATTTATAATTTATCTATCATTTAACAAACAGTGGGCAAATGAGAACAGCCCCATCCTCAATACTCCAGGGGTTACTTTCACTTTCGTTCTTGCACTCCTGAAACATGTCATGACAAACCTGCTGGCACAAGCAAAGGAATTTGATTGGTTCCAGGAGAAAAAAACTGACCAATCACAGGCTGATACCCTCTTTTTGAAGATTGAAAAGGAGCAACAACCAGCTTCAAAACCATAACAATATACCGTTATGCGACCCTGAGATTCGTTTGATGTACATCAAAGGATCAAACTAATCTTTTCGTCTTGTCCACATGGTACCTTAGTTTTGTCTCGACAATGTTCAAGCGATGCAGAGAGCGAAAGTGATCATAACTCCTGACATACCAAGGATGAGAAAAGCCCATTCTTCTGAACTGTAATCGATATGGATGGGCTTATTACCGGACATGGGCCTATTACTGATAACGAACTGATGATGATGGATGTATCTAATGTGCCCCTAGGTAAGTAGAACTATTCATTTGTATTTTTCCTAATAATGTTATATATCTGTTTAATGATATTTTCAATGGGAGAAAAAATCAGATTTGTGGACTTAAATTCATTGTAAAAAATATACAAAATTTATGAAAACAAGCAAGCATACAACCCCATATTAGTGAATTGATATATTAAAACATGATAGAATCGGTGCTGAAGATTTACTTACAGAAAACATCACTGGCTTTCTTTTCCTCTCACCATAACAAACATCCATACTAATTACTGTATAAAATATCTGTCATGCTTTTTAACAGAATCATCAAAGTATTGTTAGACTGACTATACAGACATGGATATGGCACTTTATAGGTCAAGGTGACCATTTTTACAGACCTTCAAGGTCAAATAACTACATACATTGGTAAAAATAACTTCTGGGAAGATTTCTAAGCAAGCACCATACAATCAATAAGAAACAGCAGCTTTTGGCAGGTTTACTTGGCTACATTAATATCGTCAGTACTCCCTGCGTTACAGAGTGTGAAGGTGATCCTAACACCTGGAGTAACGAGGATTCTACATTAGTATCGTCAGTACTCCCTGGGTTACAGAGTGTGAAAGTGATCCTAACACCTGGAGTAACGAGGATTCTAAATTAGTATCATCAGTACTCCCTAGGTTACAGAGTGTGAAAGTGATCCTAACACATGGAGTAACGAGGATTCTACATTAGCATCGTCAGTACTCCCTGGGTTACAGAGTGTGAAGGTGATCCTAACACCTGGAGTA